GAGCGGGGGCGGAAGGAGAGGAGGGTGCAGAGCAGGGTGGGGGGAGGAGGGACAGGGTAGCAGCATTGGGGGGGCTGAGCAGGGGGGCGGAAGGAGAGGAGGGGTGCAGAGCAGGGCGGCGGGGAGGAGGGACAGGGTAGCAGCATTGGGGGGGCTGAGCAGGGGGGCGGAAGGAGAGGAGGGGTGCAGAGCAGGGCGGGGGGAGGAGGGACAGGCTAGCAGCATTGGGGGGCTGAGCAGGGAGGGGCGGAAGGAAAGGAGGGTGCAGAGCAGGGCGGGGGGGAGGAGGGACAGGCTAGCAGCATTGGGGGGCTGAGCAGGGAGGGGCGGAAGGAGAGGAGGGTGCAGAGCAGGGCGGGGGGAGGAGGGACAGGCTAGCAGCATTGGGGGGCTGAGCAGGGAGGGGCGGAAGGAAAGGAGGGGTGCAGAGCAGGGCGGGGGGGAGGAGGGACAGGCTAGCAGCATTGGGGGGCTGAGCGGGGGCGGAAGGAGAGGAGGGGGTGCAGAGCAGGGCGGGGGGGGAGGAGGGACAGGCTAGCAGCATTGGGGGGCTGAGCGGGGGCGGAAGGAGAGGAGGGGTGCAGAGCAGGGCGGGGGGGAGGAGGGACAGGCTAGCAGCATTGGGGGGCTGAGCGGGGAGGGGCGGAAGGAGAGGAGGGGTGCAGAGCAGGGCGGGGGAGGAGGGACAGGCTAGCAGCATTGGGGGGCTGAGCAGGGGGCGGAAGGAGAGGAGGGTGCAGAGCAGGGCGGGGGGGAGAAGGGACAGGGTAGCAGCATTGGGGGGCTGAGCAGGGGGCGGAAGGAGAGGAGGGGTGCAGAGCAGGGCGGGGGGGGAAGAGGGACAGGCTAGCAGCATTGGGGGGCTGAGCAGGGGGGCGGAAGGAGAGGAAGGGTGCAGAGCAGGGCGGGGGGGAGGAGGGACAGGGTAGCAGCATTGGGGGGCTGAGCGGGGAGGGGCGGAAGGAGAGGAGGGGTGCAGAGCAGGGCGGGGGGAAGAGGGACAGGCTGGCAGTATTGGGGGGGCTGAGCAGGGAGGGGCAGAAGGAGAGGAGGGGTGCAGAGCAGGGCGGGGGGAGGAGGGACAGGCTAGCAGCATTGGGGGGCTGAGTGGGGGGGCGGAAGGAGAGGAGGGGTGCAGAGCAGGGCGGGGGGGAGGAGGGACAGGCTAGCAGCATTGGGGGGCTGAGCAGGGAGGGGCGGAAGGAGAGGAGGGTGCAGAGCAGGGCGGGGGGAGGAGGGACAGGGTAGCAGCATTGGGGGGCTGAGCGGGGGGGCGGAAGGAGAGGAGGGGTGCAGAGCAGGGCGGGGGGGAGGAGGGACAGGGTAGCAGCATTGGGGGGCTGAGCGGGGGGCAGAAGGAGAGGAGGGGTGCAGAGCAGGGCGGGGGGGAGGAGGGACAGGGTAGCAGCATTGGGGGGCTGAGCAGGGAGGGGCGGAAGGAGAGGAGGGGTGCAGAGCAGGGTGGGGGGAGGAGGGACAGGGTAGCAGCATTGGGGGGCTGAGCGGGGGCGGAAGGAGAGGAGGGGTGCAGAGCAGGGCGGGGGGGAGGAGGGACAGGGTAGCAGCATTGGGGGGCTGAGCAGGGAGGGGCGGAAGGAGAGGAGGGGTGCAGAGCAGGGCGGGGGGAGGAGGGACAGGCTAGCAGCATTGGGGGGCTGAGCAGGGGGGCGGAAGGAGAGGAGGGGTGCAGAGCAGGGCAGGGGGAGGAGGGAAAGGGTAGCAGCATTGGGGGGCTGAGCAGGGAGGGGCGGAAGGAGAGGAGGGGTGCAGAGCAGGGCGGGGGGGGAAGAGGGACAGGCTAGCAGCATTGGGGGGCTGAGCAGGGGGGCGGAAGGAGAGGAGGGGTGCAGAGGAGGGCGGGGGGGGAGGAGGGACAGGGTAGCAGCATTGGGGGGCTGAGCAGGGAGGGGCGGAAGGAGAGGAGGGTGCAGAGCAGGGCGGGGGGGAGGAGGGACAGGGTAGCAGCATTGGGGGGCTGAGCGGGGGGGCGGAAGGAGAGGAGGGGTGCAGAGCAGGGCGGGGGGGGAGGAGGGACAGGGTAGCAGCATTGGGGGGGCTGAGCGGGGGGCGGAAGGAGAGGAGGGGGTGCAGAGCAGGGCGGGGGGGAGGAGGGACAGGGTAGCAGCATTGGGGGGCTGAGCGGGAGGGGCGGAAGGAGAGGAGGGGTGCAGAGCAGGGTGGGGGGAGGAGGGACAGGGTAGCAGCATTGGGGGGCTGAGCAGGGGGGCGGAAGGAGAGGAGGGGTGCAGAGCAGGGCAGGGGGAGGAGGGAAAGAGTAGCAGCATTGGGGGGCTGAGCAGGGAGGGGCGGAAGGAGAGGAGGGGTGCAGAGCAGGGCGGGGGGGAAGAGGGACAGGCTAGCAGCATTGGGGGGCTGAGCAGGGGGGCGGAAGGAGAGGAGGGGTGCAGAGGAGGGTGGGGGGGAGGAGGGACAGGGTAGCAGCATTGGGGGGCTGAGCAGGGAGGGGCGGAAGGAGAGGAGGGGTACAGAGCAGGGCGGGGGGGAAGAGGGACAGGGTAGCAGCATTGGGGGGCTGAGCAGGGGGGGCGGAAGGAGAGGAGGGGTGCAGAGGAGGGTGGGGGGGAGGAGGGACAGGGTAGCAGCATTGGGGGGCTGAGCAGGGAGGGGCGGAAGGAGAGGAGGGGTACAGAGCAGGGCGGGGGGGAAGAGGGACAGGGTAGCAGCATTGGGGGGCTGAGCAGGGGGGTCGGAAGGAGAGGAGGGGTGCAGAGCAGGGCGGGGGAGGAGGGACAGGGTAGCAGCATTGGGGGCTGAGCGGGGGGGCGGAAGGAGAGGAGGGGTGCAGAGCAGGGCGGGGGGGGGAGGAGGGACAGGGTAGCAGCATTGGGGGGCTGAGCAGGGGGGCGGAAGGAGAGGAGGGGTGCAGAGCAGGGCGGGGGGGAGGAGGGACAGGGTAGCAGCATTGGGGGGCTGAGCAGGAGGGGCGAAGGAGAGGAAGGGTGCAGAGCAGGGCGGGGGGAGGAGGGACAGGCTAGCAGAATTGGGGGGCTGAGCGGGGGGCGGAAGGAGAGGAGGGGTGCAGAGCAGGGCGGGGGGGGAGGAGGGACAGGCTAGCAGCATTGGGGGGCTGAGCAGGGAGGGGCGGAAGGAGAAGAGGGGTGCAGACCAGGGTGGGGGGAGGAGGGACAGGCTAGCAGTATTGGGGGGCTGAGCAGGGGGGCGGAAGGAGAGGAGGGTGCAGAGCAGGGCGGGGGGAGGAGGGACAGGCTAGCAGCATTGGGGGGCTGAGCGGGGGGGCGGAAGGAGAGCAGGGGTGCAGAGCAGGGCGGGGGGAGGGAGGAACAAGCTAGCAGCATTGGGGGGCTGAGCAGGGAGGGGCGGAAGGAAAGGAGGGGTGCAGAGCAGGGCGGGGGGGGGAGGGACAGGCTAGCAGCATTGGGGGGCTGAGCAGGGGGTGGAAGGAGAGGAGGGGTGCAGAGCAGGGCGGGGGGGGGAGGAGGGACAGGGTAGCAGCATTGGGGGGCTGAGCAGGGAGGGGAGGAAGGAGAGGAGGGTGCAGAGCAGGGCGGGGGGGAAGAGGGACAGGCTAGCAGCATTGGGGGGCTGAGCAGGGGGGGCGAAGGAGAGGAGGGGTGCAGAGCAGGGCAGGGGGAGGAGGGACAGGGTAGCAGCATTGGGGGGCTGAGCAGGGCAGGGGGAAGGAAAGGAGGGGTGCAGAGCAGGGTGGGGGAGAGGAGGGACAGGCTGGCAGCATTGGGGGGCTGAGCAGGGAGGTCGGAAGGAGAGGAGTGGTGCAGAGCAGGGTGGGGGGGAGGAGGGACAGGCTAGCAGCATTGGGGGGGCTGAGCAGGGGGGGCGGAAGGAGAGGAGGGGTGCAGAGCAGGGTGGGGGAGAGGGGGGGACAGGGTAGCAGCATTGGGGGGCTGAGCGGGGGGCGGAAGGAGAGGAGGGGTGCAGAGCAGGGCGGGGGGAGGAGGGACAGGGTAGCAGCATTGGGGGGCTGAGCAGGGAGGGGCGGAAGGAGAGGAGGGGTGCAGAGCAGGGCGGGGGGAGGAGGGACAGGCTAGCAGCATTGGGGGGCTGAGCAGGGAGGGGCAAAGGAGAGGAGGGGTGCAGAGCAGGGCAGGGGGAGGAGGGACAGGGTAGCAGCATTGGGGGGCTGAGCAGGGCAGGGGGAAGGAGAGGAGGGGTGCAGAGCAGGGTGGGGGGAGGAGGGACAGGCTAGCAGCATTGGGGGGCTGAGCAGGGCAGGGGGAAGGAGAGGAGGGGTGCAGAGCAGGGCGGGGGGAGGAGGGACAGGCTAGCAGCATTGGGGGGCTGAGCAAAGAGGGGCAGAAGGAACCTGTTCCTCCCCCACTCTGAACTCTAGGGTACAGATGTGGGGACCTGCATGAAAACCCCCTAAGCTTATCTTTACCAGCTTAGGTCAAAACTTCCCCAAGGTACAAAATATTCCCCCCGTTGTCCTTGGCCTGGCCGCTACCACCACCAAACTAATACTGGTTACTGGGGAAGAGCTGTTTGGACGCGTCCTTCGCCCCAAAATACTTCCCAAAACCTTGCACCCCACTTCCAGGACAAAGTTTGGTAAAAAGCCTCACCAATTTGCATAGGTGACCACAGACCCAAACCCTTGGATCTGAGAACAATGAAAAAGCATTCAGTTTTTACAAGAAGACTTTTAATAAAAAATAGCAGTAAATAGAAATAAAGAAATCCCCCCTGTAAAATCAGGATGGTAGATATCTTACAGGGTAATTAGATTCAAGAACATAGAGAACCCCTCTAGGCAAAACCTTAAGTTACAAAAAAGATACACAGACAGAAATAGTTATTCTATTCAGCACAGCTATTTTCTCAGCCATTTAAAGAAATCATAATCTAACGCATACCTGGCTCGATTACTTACTAAGTTCTAAGACTCCATTCCTGGTCTGTCCCCGGCAAAAGCATCCCAGAGACAGACGCAGCCCCTTTGTTTCTCTCCCTCCTCCCAGCTTTTGAAAGTATCTTGTCTCCTCATTGGTCATGTTGGTCAGGTGCCAGCGAGGTTACCTTTAGCTTCTTAACCCTTTCCAGGTGAGAGGAGCTTTCCCCTGGCCAGGAGGGATTTCAAAGGGGTTTACCCTTCCCTTTATATTTATGACAGGGGGGGACGAAGCCTGTTTCTGGACAGTGGCCGGAGGAAGCTGGACTTTGTGCCAGGCCCATCCCGGGAGCCGGATCCCTCCCAGGCTCTCGTCTTCTTTCGCTTTTGACGCTGGGGAACCTGCCAGGGCGGGACGACGCCCCCCTTTCCTAGAAGACACAGGGGAAACCCCAGGGGCAGGCTGGGGTGAAACCCTGCGGCGCCCTGACCCCCCCTCCCGCCCCCGGCATGGCTGTTGCGGCCCGGGAGAGGGAAGCGGGCCCCGGGAGCCGGCGTGCACCCTAGGGAGAAGGGCTCTGGGTGCTGGCGAAGGTGGGAGCCGCCTGCGGAGATTCGACCGGCTCAGGAACAACTTCCACTGGACCCTGCAGGTGAGGGGGGGTCGCTCACTGCAACTCCGGCCCCGGCATGTCCAACCTAAACCTCCCCCACTGCCCTCAAGTTGCAGTGGGGGTGTCCCGGCGTCCCCGGGCGATGCTCTGGGACTGCTCCCCGTGGGGCCGGGCAGGACTCTGGGGGAGTCTCCTCTCGGGGGGCAGCCTGGCTGCAGGACACACAGCTCCCCCGGCTTCCCCCTTCCTGGGTCTGCCCCTCCGGGCGCTTCCCACAGCCCGTCTGCCCAGGCGGGGTCCTGGGGGGGCCAGAGGGTCCTGCCCCCCAACTCCGCAGTCAAACGGGACTCTCAGCCAGCCGGTAACACAGAAGGTTTATTAGACGACAGGGACATGGTCTAACACAGACTTTGTAGGTGCAGAGAACCGGACCCCTCAGCCGGGTCCATTTTGGGGGGCAGTGAGCCAGACAACCCCGTCTGCCCTTCACTGCATGTCCCAGCCAGCCCCAAAGTGAAATTCCCCCCAGCCCCCCCTGCTCTGGACTTTCCCCTTCCCGGGGCCAGGAGGTCACCTGATTCCTTTGTTCTCCAACCCTTTAGCTCTCACCTTGCAGGGGGGAAGGGCCCAGGCCATCAGTTGCCAGGAAACAGGGTGTCGGCCATTCTCTGTGTCCAGACCCCTGCCCGCACCTGCCCTCTAGGGCTCTGCAACGATCATACACCCTTACCCCACCCCCGAGATACTTAAGAACTGCCTAGGGGAAACTGAGGCACCCCCACACTATTCAGAGGAAACATTAAGAACAGCCCCACTTTGTCACAGGGAGGTTTAGGTTGGATATTAGGAAAAACTTTTTCCCTAGGAGGGTGGTGAAACACTGGAATGCGTTACCTAGGGAGGTGGTGAAATCTCCTTCCTTAGAGGTTTTTAAGGTCAGGCTTGACAAAGCCCTGGCTGGGATGATTTAGTCGGGGGTTGGTCCTGCTTTGAGCAGGGGGTTGGACTAGATACCTCCTGAGGTCCCTTCCTGCCCTGATCTTCTACGATTGTATGATATTTCCTGGCGGGTTGCATGGGCCCCTGGTGCCTGGGCTCCCCCAATCTTCAGGGCCCAGCTCCAGCAATGTTTGGGGCTGGGTCTCGCCCAAGGCACCCGCCACGGGGGAGGCGAGGGGGGCTTCCAGGACCTGAGAGGGGCCCTAGGAGCACGCGCCCTGACAGTGGTGGGAGGCTGCCACGTGGAGTATGCTGCCCTGACTTGGAAGCAGACTGCTATTTACAGGGGTTAAAAGGGGGCAAATCGGAGGGGGGGGGGGTGGCCCGGACCTGAGGCGGGGCGGATCAGCTGTTTCCCACCTCCCTGCTCTGGCAGGGGCTGAGTGAGTCTCACAAAAAAAAGCCCCAGGGTTAGGCGTGGGCACAGCCGGCCCCTGCTCACCTAGGGCCGCCCCACACCTCTTGGGCTGATGGCCATGGCGTCCACCTGTATGGTTGCTCCCCGCCAGCCAGGCTCCACTCTGGCCACAGCAGGCATCAGGTGGCCCAAGGGAGCCCAGCTAGGCTAGGGCTGGGTGCAGTGGTGGATTAGGGGGAGGAGAAGCCCTGGACCCCGGCAGGAGTCATACTGGGGGGAGGACGGGGAGGAGAAGCCCTGGACCCCGGCAAGAGTCATACTGGGGGGAGGAGAAGCCCGGGCAGAAGATGTGGGGCTGAAGTCCCCTGCTCGGGAGCCCCAGCCACCCTAACGGCAGAAGCTGCAGGGCTGAAGCCCCGACCCCACTCCGCGTGGAACTGGCCTGAACCCCTCTCTCTCCCATCCCCCCGGGGAGCTGGCTCTCGCCCTCCGGCTGTGGAGAAATTCAGCCCGAATCTACCCACACTGATAGCTCCACTTCGCCCATCATCACACAGCCATGAATGGATTTAGCCTAGGAGGCAGGGTCAGCATTCGCCCCATTTGGCAGGTGGGATCTAGGGCACACAGAGGTGAAGTGACTTTCCCAAGGCTAAGCAGGGAGTCTGTGGCAGAGCAGAGAACCAAACCCAGAACACCTGAGCCTTAACCACTAGGCAACCTTCGCACCCGAGGAGGGGGAACCCCCGCTGCCACTTTGAGTGTGTGGGTGGGAGCAGGCACTAGCCGGCCACCAGGAGGAGGGGAGCAGGGAGAGATGGGAAAAGGGACGTAGGTGGGAAGCAAGAAGGGGAAAGCTTCAGGAAGGGGAGCAAGGACTTAGAGAAGAAACAAGAGAAAGGAAAAAGGGGCAGGGAGAGCAAGAGGAGGGGAGAGGAGAAAGACTCCCCACTGCTTGTCCCTCCCATCCACCTTCTTCCCGCAGCCATCAGCGGCCTCAGCTCCCAAACACACACCCCTCGCCTTCAGGGCAGGAGGGGGCGGAAAGGAGTGAGCAGTGGGCAGGAGATGCTCAAGGGAGGGGAGCTAAGGGCAGGGGGCAGGAAGAGGTGGAGGGGGGCAGAGTGAGGGCGGGGGCCTTGGGGAAGGGGGCGGAGCCGGGATGGGGCACCCATCAGCAAAACCAAAAGTCAGCACCTATGAGGATAGGGGCTGAGGGGCAAAATCAGGGATGGGGGGAAAGAGCCAGGGTTAAGCACAAGGGTGAGGTGCTGCCAGATGGTGACAGAGGGTAAAACCCGGCCCAGGCAGGGGCAGAGGGGGAACAGTCGCCCCGGTGGACTGAGCCCCCCCGTGTTTGCAATAATAGGGGGGGGGCAGAGGGGCTTTTTTATTTCCCCTCCCCCAGAGGGCACCTCTCAGCCCGGGCTGCCCAGGGCGGGTGCTTCAAGGCCCGGGCCTCTGCCGTCACCGACAGGGGGGCTGCAGGAGACTTCATTCAGTGAAACATTGTACGTATACCCCCTCCCTCCCCGAAACAAAGAATACCTTATTCGTGTATCTGGCTGCGTAACGTCTCATAGCAGGTTGCCAAGTTGTCTTATTTAATGCTGGGATTCCCTGAATTCTTAATTCAGAATTTTTCTTCTTATTTTTAGAGCAGAAGTTTTGTCTTCCACTCTGACTGAATTTCTGCCCAGGTCTCAAAGCTTTGTTTTCATTCAGTCCACCAGTGCGGATTGCATTTTTGCAACTGTTATATACCACAGACCTTGATGTGCTTCCCACCTCCCTTGTATCTAACCCCAGCTGATCGATTCTGAGGGGTGAAAAGATCCTGCTGCTGAAACCAGAATTGTAGCTGGCCTATTTACTCTGAATTTCAGGTTAACAGAGGAGGGGAAAGTTCGAGGAGAAGCTGCAGGCACACAAGGTGCTGTGACTTGCCCAAGGTTACACAGCAAGTCAGTGGAAATCCTGGCTCTCATTTATCAGGACTTTTCTTCAGAATCCCAAATTACAAACTTTCTGGATTTCCCTGGTAAATTCTCCAAAGGCCTGATCAGTTTAATCTCTCTGGTATATTCCCCCGCCCCGCTGTATTTCCAGCAGCAGCCCCTATTACCCGGCAGGCTCATCAACTGAAACTCTCATCTTTCCAAAGGTCATCTTGTGCGTATTTCGTTTTGTGCTGAGTCAGACAAGCCGGAAGAAAGTAGGGAGTGTGATTGGGCTGGGCCTGGGCAGAGTTTATCAGAAAGCTCTTGGAACAAGAGAGAGATCTGTGTGATACTACTTGATATCACTTTCTGTCAGCTGCAGTTTTCAGCATTAGTTTTGCTCCCAACGTAAATAACAGGGTAGGTTTGCTTATTTTGCTAGGCTGCTTCTCTGGCTCCTTTGTTTGTGGGAGAAGCCCGAACCTAGGACTCTTTGTCTCCCCACTAAAGTGTGTCTGAGTTTGAGATCCTTAGTATTTATAATCATCCTGTGTCCTGTGTCATTGAGATCCTGAGCACTTTACCAGCAGGAGGCTCAGTTATGCCTCTAAAGCTTGAGCCATGGGGTGGAGGAGGAGAAGGTGGTACATCTTCAAGCCGCGGTGGTAGGAGGGGCGTTTGTGCGGGTGGAAGCTGCTGAACCCCTGGGGCCACCAGGAGCCCTGGGGAGGGAGGGTTGCCCTCACCAGTACAGGAGAGATGAAGGAGCACCCAGGCCACACCGTGCCTGGCTCCTCTGGGGTGCTCAGGACAGCTGGCAGTGCCTTCTGCCACTCCCCGTTTGCCATCAGGGCATTTAGGCTGCAGCAATCTTATGGCTTCCATGTGCACGGGTGCGTTTGGGGGAGGGAAAGGACTTTTGTTACACAGATAAAATTACACAGGATCTTTTCAGGGGACAAGACAAGATGTCACATTTATTATAATAACACAATTTGATTTATGACCAAGAACTAATATCTAATACCTATGTATACACACACACACTCACATCAGATGTCCTGCAGCTGCTAGATAGTTACCAGTCCTGATTGTAGCTTGAGTTCGTGGCTTGGGTTCGCAGCTCGGGATCGTAGCTGGTGGCGGCTAACTGGCCAGGAAAGCCAGGCACGAGGGAGGGCTGGGGCTCTGTTGGGCACGCACCGATGCCCCTTGATGCTGGAAGCAGAACGTTACCCAAAGTCTTCCATCTCACCCATCTTTTTTGTAGGTTTTTAGTTTGAATCCAGAGCCTATAGGTCTTGCTGTGTCAGGCTGCCTCTGGGTTCAGTGTGATTGATCACCCATCAATTGTAGACATGACTTTCAGCCTGGGACCTGGCTTTGATCTTCCTTCCATTGTACTTTTGTTCTTTTCCTTTGAGGGTGGACTCTTCTTGCTTTGTCAGGGCTGTTGTCTGCATCTTCAGCCCTTGGTGTTTACACTTGATTTCATCAGGGCCGGCTGGGGCTGGAGGTTGATTCCATCATCCATACAGACCTCATTCCCACATCGAAACTACACGAATCAGGTTACAGCAGGGTTTTGCAAAAATGAAGGTTGCAGCAGGGTTTACAAAATGGAGTGAGCATTTCAAAATGGGGTTTGGGACAAGTTAAAAGGGAGTTTGGGTTACAATATGGACAAGTGTAAGGAATGGCAAACAGAGAACAGAAGTTACTTATAAAGTTATATTAATAAA